TAAAGGTTAGATAGCACACACACACAAAAAACATATTTCAAGTCACAAGCACCAATCACATATAAATAATACACATACATAATCAGTATCACATTTCTCATCACTGGTATGCTGCTACAACAACATACATGGGGGCACGTGCATTCATGAATACATCATTGGTGACCAAAGGTACACCTAGAATAGCTTTTTACATCACTAGTATGCGACCTAAGCGACACACCTGGAATACATCATTTCATCACTGGTGACTCAAGGTACACCTTGTTAGCTTGTTACATCACTGGTGACCCAAGGTACACCTTGTTAGCTCGTTACATCACTTGTGACCCGAAGTACACCTTGTTAGCTTGTTACATCACTGGTGACCCAAGGTACACCTTGTTATCCTATTACATCACCGGTGACCCAAGGTACACCTTGTTAGCGTGTTACATCACTGGTGACCTAAGGTACACCTTGCTAGCTTGTTACATCACTAGTGATCCAAGGTACACCTTGTTAGCTTGTTACATCACTGGTGACCCAAGGTACACCTTGTTAGCTTGTTACATCACACCTGGAGTAGATCATATATGCACATGATGCATCTCACACATTCACTATTTCATTAACTCAACATTTCACTCATCACGTCTCATCATATCTCATGTCACATTATTTCATAATATCATATCACAGATCATATGTTCACCTTTCACATTCTCACGTCATATTCACATATTCTCATACAAGGAACTTCTCGTAGTCATATACATCAAAATAATACATAAATCATACCAAGAACTTATCCAAAACATGAAGTCATCATCAATTTTACATATTATAATGAAAAATGATAAAAGGTGAAAGTGTTTGGCAATAATGAATGATGTTATACAGTAAAAGATGATCCAATATTTATATACAATAGCCCCTTCTATTCTAGAATTCTAATAGCAGAATAGACAAAATAACAAATGGCAGAATGAACAAAATAACAGAACGAAAAATATGCATTGGTGCAAGATTGCAAGTTTGTTACAAAAAGAATATTGTACAAGTTTGTTAGCCTCCCGCAAGCAAGAGAGGAGTGTCAACCATCTCTAGCTTAGACAAGTTTGCATGGAATAGCCGAGGAGGAAGAGCTTTAGTGAAGATATCAGCAAGTTGCCGAGATGATGGAACTGGAAGAAGCTTCATTAATCCTGCTTGTGCCTTTTCTCGAACCAAATGGCAATCTATCTCCAAGTGTTTCGTTCTTTCATGAAAGAATGGATTTGTAGCAATGTGTAAAGCACTTTGATTATCACAATAAAGTGTTGTTGACTTAGAACACTGGATTTTGAGATTAGTGAGAAGGTAAGTTAACCATTGCAACTCATAGGTACTAGTAGCAAGGGCTCTATATTCTGCTTCGGAGGAAGAACGAGACACAGTATTCTGGTTTTTGGTTTTCCAAGAAATTAAAGAGTTCCCTATGAAGAAACAATAACCTGTGACTGATCGGCGTGTGGAGACGCAAGTTGCCCAATCGGCATCACTAAACCTAATGAGGTGGATAGGAGAATTCCGTTTGAAGTAGAGCCCCTTGTTTGGACAGCCTTTCAAGTATTTAAGAACTCTTTTTGTAGCACCTAAATGAGACTTTGCAGGATTTGCCATGAACTGACTTAATTGCTGAGTCGCAAAAACGATGTCCGAACGAGTCATTGTGAGATAAATCAAACGACCAATGAGGCGCCTATAGGATAGAGGATCATCAAGTAATTCACTCGAATTAGCTTTTTTTAAACGAAGAGAGCTATCCATAGGAGTGGAACTCGGTTTACAACCCAATAATCCTGAATTTGAAAGCAACTCAAGGCGGTATTTTCGTTGAGATACAAAGATGCCATCATCAGACTTGCTTACTTCTAATCCCAGAAAATATTTGAGTTCCCCCAAATCTTTCGAAAATTGGATTGAAGTATATGCTTGAGCTTTTTTATTTCAGTGGGAGAGTTGCCAGTTAAAACAATATCATCAACGTATATCAATAAACCATTAAATTCCCCTTTTTCATGCTTGATAAACAAGCTGTGATCAGCATGTGATTGCGAATAACCAGATGAGAGAAGAAGGTTAGAGAGTTTCTCATACCATTTTCGACTTGCTTGTTTTAGCCCATAGAGAGATTTTTTGAGCTTGCAACACTGTGAGGATTCATACCCATATAGACCTTGAGGAATCTTCATGTAAACCTCCTTGGACAAGTCACCATGTAGAAAGACATTACTAACACCCAATTGCTGCAATCCCAATTATTTATGGAAGCTAGGGCAAGGATAACTCGTATGGTAGCCATTTTAACCACTGGAGAAAAAGTCTCGAAGAAGTCTATCCCTTCCACTTGGGAGAATCCTTTCGCAACAAGCCTCGCCTTATATCGTTCCACACTCCCATCTGGTTTCTTTTTGATTTTGTAAACCCATCTACATCCTATGGGCTTGACATGCTTAGGAGTTTCCACAATCTCCCAAGTTTTTTTCAGCTTTAAAGCCTCAATTTCATTCTTCACGGCTTCTTTCCAACACGGCTTCAAAATTGCTTCTTGATAGCTTCGGGGCTCAATCTCAGAAGTTAAGTTCATGACATAATGACGCTCAGACTCAGTAATGGAAGAAAGAACAGATTGAATAGGATACCTACACGTTGACGATGATTGATTTGGTTTGGTCTCTATGTTGTAGCAAACAAAATCCGCAAGTCGAACATTGGGTTTAGAGCCACGAGTGGTTCGTCTTGGTATGAAAGGAATAAGGTTTTGGATGAGGTGATGAAGAGATATGTGGCGAGATTGACTGGGATGGAGAAGTTGATGGTGAAATTTGTGGAGAGGATGAAGTTGTTGGGGAAGGTAAGGTTTGAGGTGAAATGGGAGTTTGTGATGGAAGTTGGTCCTGAAGTGTAAAATGGAGAGGATCAAAGTCATGGAAGGTCTTTATTTGTGGAGGAAATAACTTTTCTTTTTCTTGGGCTTCGTGTTTGTTATTAAAAGGAAAATGGGACTCATAGAAGATAACATCTCTAGAGACAAAAATGTCTTTATTTTGTAAGTCTAAAATAATATAGCCTTTTGTGCCAAATTGATAGCCAAGAAAAACTCCTTCTCTAGACCTAGGATCAAATTTCTATTTGGGCCCAGTGGTTGAAGCATAACATAAAGAACCAAAAACTTTAAGCATGGAAAAATTAGTTTTTTGATTATGCAAAAGTTCGTAAGGAGTTTGTTTCTTTGTAACTAGAGAATGTATACGGTTAATAAGATAAACTGCATGTTTTATTGCATAAGACCAAAAATGTTTAGGCAATTGAGATTGAAACATGAGAGCACGTGCCACATTAAGGATATGTTGGTGTTTTCTCTTAACACGCTCGTTTTGTTGAGGGGTATAAACACAACTGGTGTGATGTATAATCCCTTTTGAAGCAAAAAAAATCTTTAAGAAAAAATTTCGGACCATTATCCGTCCGAATACATTTTATTTTGGAATCAAATTGATTTTCAATTAGAGAAATAAAATTTTGAACATATATTTTTACTTCGGATTTTGATTTCAATAAGGCAATCCAAGTATATCTACTAAAATCATCCAAGATAGTTAAAAAATATTTTTCATCATGAATTGAGGCCTTAGAAAAAGGTCCCCGAATGTCCATGTGCACCAAATCAATTTTTTTTGAAGCTCTACTATCACTAAGGAAATAAGGCAATTTTCTTTGTTTTGCAAAATGACAAATGTCACAATTTTCATTAATATGTTTTGGAATAAAAGGAAATTGTTCACATAACATTTAATCGGTTTCCCAAGAGATGTCCTAATCTATAATGCCAAAGGTTAGAGTTTGAAATGGCATTGGTAGCACTTTCATTAATAGAAGGTTTGTTTGGTGAAAGAACTTTGGCTTCTCTGTTGACTTGCAGATGATAGAGACCTTGTTGAAGATTAGCCAAACCAATCATCCCCAACGTACGCTTGTCCTGGATAGTGCATAAAAAATCATGGAAGATGAGAATATATTTATGAGTCAGTATGAGTTTGGATATGGATAAAAGATTAAAATGAAAGTTCGGAACAAACAAAAAATTGTGAATAATAAATTCTGGAGAAAAAATGATTGTTCCAGATATATGGGCAATAATAATGGACTTATCAGGTAAACTTATTTGTATTGGTTTAATGTTAGAATAATTTGAAAACCAATTTAGAGAAGATGCAACATGATCTGTGGCTCCCGAATCTATGATCCAGGGGACATTGTGAGTGGTGTAAGAGGCGTGGTGTGTGTTAGTGCAAAAAACAAAGGAGATACCACTGGACTCAAAATTTTGTTGAGCATTTGGAGTGTGGATGAGATTCACTCTATTGGGTTGAACGAGAGAGTTGGCCCTGTTACATCAGAAGTATTCTTTTGTTGCTGTGGTTGGAGCAAAGACATCAGGGTTTGATATTAGGCATGGGTCAATGTGATGGGGCTCCCTCCTTCTCTGAATCGTTGCCTCCTTCAGTGGGTTCGATCATAGCTGCACTGTTAATGGAGGAAGAGTCAGAGGCATCGCGATTGAACTTTGGCCTCCCTGGGTATCGAGGATGACCAGGGGGATAGCCATGCTTTCCCCAACACATGTCAATAGTGTGTCCAGGACGGTGACAATAGGAGCATTTCTTGTTGGAGGCTCCTTTGACAGCGGAAGAAGGACTAGAGCCACGCCCTTTGCCGGAGAAAGAGTGATTAGCTGCATTCACAAAGGCGTTAGGTTCAGTAGGCGAAGACGAAGCAAGTTGTCGTTCCTGCTGGACAACCATGGAGAAGATGTAGTTGATAGCGGGGAGAGGATCCATCAAAAGGATTTGGGAATGCACAACAGAGAAGCATTCGTCCAAACCTTTGAGGAATCAGATTATGAAATCCTGTTGGTGGTAAGTTTTGGCAAAACACGAGCAAGAAGAAAAGGGTCTGTAGTTATCGAGTTCTTCCTAGAGGGTTTTCAATGCGGTGTAGGACTCAGAGACAGTACGAATTCCTTGAGAAAGTCCATATATTTCTTCATGGAGCTTTGCGATTCTGAGAAGATCGCCTTGCAAAAAACGTTCGCGAAGGTCATTCCAAATGTCTATGGCACATTCGAGGAAAATAACGCTTTGGGCGATGGAGGGAGTAACCGAGTTGAGTAACCACGACATGACAAGGGTATAGCACCTTTCCCAAGCAGAATAAAGAGGTTCTTCAACCTTAGGAACAGGAATGGTGCCTAACAAGAAAGCCATCTTGTTTTTTGAGATTAAAGCCATTCTAATGGCATGAGACCAGGACTGATAGTTTGTGCCATCAAGGACAGGGGTTATGGAGACAGAGGAAGGTCCTTCACTAGGGTGGATGAAGAAGGGACTTGATAGGTTCATGGTAGGATTAGTAGCTTCATTACCACGATTTTCTTTCTCAGGACCTTCATTATCAGAGTTCTTTGGACTGGCAAGAGGAGTAGAAGACATTTGGAAGTAATAAGCAGAGCTCCAGGAGGGAGCTCTGATACCATATAACGAAAAATGATAAAAGGTGAAAGTGTTTGGAAATAATGAATGATGTTATACAGTAAAAGATGATCCAATATTTATATACAATAGGCCCTTCTATTATAGAATTCTAATAGCAGAACGGACAAAATAACAAATGGTAGAATAGACAAAATAACAGAACGAAAAATATGCAGTGGTCCAAGATTACAAGTTTGTTAAAAAAAGAATATTGTACAAGTTTGTTACATATAATGCTGCAAAATCATCCAAAGATCATATCCCTAATTTTACTTCATAGGGTTTCTCACAAGAACCCATAGAGCACTCTAATTCATGTCAAAATTTGTCTATTTTTGAAATTAAACACATAATCACACTTAGAAAACATCAAGGAACACAACAAAACATTCAAAAAATAAAACAGAAAATATTGATATTTTGCTTGTTCCTAGAAGCATGCATCACACAAGGTATTACGGGCCAATCCTACTACCCAACAATTATTCTCACACCCTTGAGCAAGGTTTCTCACTCCCCCTTACCTAGATAAGCAGAAAACTAAGCTAGAGCAGAATCTAGTTGATCTCCTTCTCTTGGTTCTCCTTAGTCTTCAAAGAGTGTGTCTAGAAGCAGTGTCAGAGTCTGTTATTTAACCTACGCGGCCTCACTAGATGGTATGTTGTATTTTTTTTCTTTAGGTTTACAATTACATGAGTATTTATAAAAAAAATAATAAAAAAAAAACAAACGGGCTAAGCCCAATAAACCCTTTAGACTCCAGATACTTAACATTGTGTACATAAGCATAACACCATATTTCACAATAAGCCCAAAGCAATCACATAACTAACACCGTATCACGTACACGCTCGTGCTGACACATCTCACGTCCAACACCGTGTTAGGCTCAAACTTGTGCCAAAACATCATACCACATTTCACAATCCAACTCATTACCACGTACACAACAAACATTTCCACATAAACCAATAGGTCATACACATATCTTGCAATTCACAGTTGATTTACATTACATCCAACACTCACCAATACATACATACACATTGACAGATCCACATTGTGAGTAGTGGGGGGCACTTTCCCCCACTACTATTTCACACATAAATATTTTTTATTTAAAAAATAATATATTTTTAAAAAAATAATTTTATTTTAATAAAATAAATAAAATATATTTAAATTATCATATGTATAAAATATAGATTAAGAAAAGAGATTCATTTATTTGATATTTATCAAACTTTTGAAGGATATTAATTCTCTTATGTGATAAAGAATATTTCTTAATAACGAATCAATTTTCTTAAAAAGTCTAATTATAATATATATAGAGTTAATCACCTATATACTGATAGTGTAAAGTTTTTTTACATTGACAACCAATTATATCTTTCAATTGTGTCATGTCTACTAAAAGTAAATGTGTTTACAGTGACATGACACAATTAAAAGATATAATTGGTTGCCAGTGTAAAAAAACTTTACACTCGCAATGTATAGGTGATTAACTCATATATATACATACATATATATATATATATGTATTATATAATGTATATATTAAAAAAATCAATTTTTGATAAAAATAAAATTTACAGTATGCATGTTTACCTTTTGCGTTTTCTAGTTATTATATATGTTGATTAAAATAATTAAAAAAAGAAAAATCAGAAGATTTATGTTCCATTTAGAATTGTTATATAAAATATATTTTAAAATAAGTTATCATCTAAAAGTATATATTAGATATTAAAAATATGTTTATATCATAAATAAATTAAACATGATTTTTATAAAATTTAACATATTTATTTTATATTTTTAATAGTGTTAAATTATTATAAAGTAGGTCTTTAGGATTGTAGTTCTAACCAAACATTTAAAAAATGTCTATGATAGATAAATAAGTCATATTTAGGATATATATTTTTAAAGAAAGTTAGGTTCAAACCTATTAAATTATAATAAAATTTAGTCTAACCTAATTTATTTTCATCTTTACTTGTAATCGTAGATATAAAAATTTGTAAAAAATAATTATGATATATATTTATGCTTTTAAAATTTATATGTAAAATTTTTAATACTACAAATATATGAATAAGTATTGTCCCCACTATCTAAAATTTCTGGATCCGTCACTGTACATACACACACACACACACACATATATATATATATATGGGTGTGTGCGTGTGTGTATGTGTGTGTATAGCAAATCATAAGAAATCAACAAACACTCCCTAATTTACACCATATTGATTCAAACTCGCGTTTGACGAAATTACAATTTTTCCCGACGTGGCTCAGCCTGAGAGCTCCTACTCATGCCTAGAAAAATTCTAATTACACCTGACGAGACACAACCTGAGAGCTCTTACTCTTGCTCACACTTGGGCTAGGAGATCACGCCCAACGTTTAGGTTTGCTAAAGACCTCCTTAAAGAATTTTGCCCGACACTACAAGAAAAATGTTGATTTTCGACGGAAATTTTTGACGAAAACAGGTTAATTTCTGACAGTTTTTTTTTTCGACAGATTTCAATCTGTCGAAAAAACTGGCATCGAAAAAAAATCCATCGGAAATAATTTAATTCGTCAGAAATTTTCAATGGAAAATTTCGTCAGAAATTATAATTTTTTTAATTTTAATAAATTTATTAATGTAACAACCCTCATATTTGGCCTCTTAAGGGTTCTATTTCACGATATTTCACTGTTTAGCGTGTTTTATCCTTACTTGTACAATTTCTAGGAAACTTTCCTGAAGGTCACCCATCCATGTACAACTCCAGGTCAAGTACGCTTAACTATGAAATTCTGATGAGTAAGCTACCGAAATGTATATGTATGTTGTCAATATAACTTGTTCAATTTAATTCATTTAAGTCATCCTGAAATATATAATTTCATACTTGTACTATAATAATAATATATAATAATTTTATATTACGAATAATAATAATAATAATAATAATATATTTAATTATTCTTTATTTATTTGTTCTTACTTTTATAATTAGAGTTTCACGAGCTTATGGATAGGACCGATACAACTATATAACATTAATCAACACTGTACCTGTCTGGAGGATACACCAAATCTTCTCGTACTCTGAAGGCCGAACGAGTGGTCCGATCCAATGCGAGTGAGGGGTTGGTACCTGCAAAAGGCACTCCAACGCTCAAGTCAGGACAAGCACCAATATCGAGGGTAATTAATGAACAGTCACGTTACCTTTTGACTTGAGCTATTTATACTGACATTTATGGGCTTTGGACCCCATGGGCCCTGCAACGTATTTACCGTATTAGGTAATACACCTTAATCAACTAATTAACTCCTAATCATGGATTAAGGGCCATGAGTGATGATGGGCCGATCCAGGTGGCCGAACGCCACTCGGTCACCTGGTTTTGCCTTTTGGCAGCCGACCGGGTGGTGGCCGAACGCCCTTACCCGTACACTGCCCCCCAGCCTTGAAGAGAGACGTGACTTTCTTTAAGGGTAAACTGAAGATGGCGGTTAGGGTAAGGTGAAGGGTCATGTATTTAATAACCGTTAGATATGGAAGATCTAACGGTTACAACTTTTCGATACTTTAAATTTTCGCGCCTTTTTTCATTCCTATAAATAGGTTAAACGGTAGGGCCATTCATACACTTTATCATAATCCGAGTTGAGTTATTCCGAGACCTCAGAAGCCGACCCGGTTATCCTTCGTTTAGAAAAATTGGTAAGTTCTTGTAACCATGGTTGATACTTCTTCTAGTTCTTCGGCTAGCAGCTCTCGGTCCTCGTCTTCCGAGGGGTTCTCGTCCAGTATATCAAGTCCTAGGTTATCTCAATCTCCCATGCATGCCGAAAGGTCAGGTGAAAGCAGTGCCGCAACCGACGAAGCTTCTACTAGTGGCGGTGAAGAGGTTCAAGAGAAAAGAACACGAGCGTCTAACCGTCAACGATATGGTCCATCTGATGTGCCTGGATATGAATGGGTAAACGGGGAAGTGACTTCATATTATTCGCGCTATCAAGACACCAAAATGATCACAAATCTCCTTGATTACACCAACTGTTTAAATTTTGATACTAAAGAGAATCCCTACCCGATTGGGATTCGGTCATGCCGAAACAATGCTTTTGTTAATCCTGATTTAGTTTGTCTTGATCAAAGTGATGGCAAAATGCCATCATTCTATATGTATGATTGTCTCCTCCGAGATCTCAAGGTTACGTTGCCGTTTGACGAGTTCACGATGGGAGTGCTACGAGTGTTGAATGTAGCTCCTACTCAATTGCACCCGAACAGCTGGGCACAACTGCAGGGCTTCAAGCACTTATGTAAATGTCTTCATATTAAGCCTTCCCCTCTTCTCTTTCTGTATTTCTACTCGTCTCGGCCAACGATTTTAGCAAAGTGGCATTCCCTAAGCCGAATAGGGGATCGGCTTTTATTAAATAGTTTCACTTCATCGTATAAGAATTTCAAAACTGGATTTTTCCGAGTGACCATACGGCCGAATGGGCAACGTTTCTTCTTTGATGGTAATGGGCAAAGTTTATTTCCGTTATACTGGACTCGTACCCCTCGGCCCTATGACGTGGTACCGAAGAAGATGCTGACAGCTGAAGAACGAA